CTTTTTCTTTTTGTGGACTTTTCTTGACATGCTCTGCTTGGGGATTTTCATGTGGCCTTTTTCTGTAGTGGCCTCCGTGAGGGGATGAAAAGTTCTTCTTTCTTTTCCTTCTATTGCCCCCTGGTGATGTGGAGGATTTGACTCCGTATTTTCTTTGATGGACTCTTGAGTAGTCCTTATTCTCCTTTGGGAAATGAAGTGGAGATTCTGGATGAGCTTGCTTGTTGACTCATGTGGCGATGTAGCTGAGTCGTGAGGTAGTCTTTTTGCTTTGCCTCTGGAGTAGGCATGAATCCTCTTGGGGATAATCGAGCCTTTCCATTGGCTTTTTTATTTTGATGGTTTCCATTTTGAAGCTCTTTATTTTGCTGACATGGTTTTGATTTCGCCTTTTTCTTTCGCGATCTTGATCTTTATCACGAGTTATTTGAAATCTAGCTTTTTAATATATCACGTGTGCCTTTTAAGTTTGTACACGTGGGCTTTTCGGAATGTAAACAGAAATAACAACTTTTATTTATTACTTCGTTCTTTTTTTGTGTGGTACATTTAAGCACTTTCAAAGTACTAAAATACTAAAAGTTATTAAGAACTACTCCTACTGATCTGCCTCAGGGCTGGAATGGGAGGATGGTGCTGGTGAAGGAATGCGGCGGAGCAAGCGGCGCTGGAACCTCGCCTGAGTCTGGACCAAGCCTTCTATCTGGCGGTCTGTCCTGTCCTGCCTCGTGGTCAGCTGGCTAAACTGCTGTCGCATGAACTGGAACTGTTCTTCCATATAAGCATGCTCGTCGTCCAGGCGTCGGTATAGGCCAGCATAGTCGGGATCATATGACTGCTGGTGAGATTGTGAGGTCGCAGGGATGTCCTGCGGTGTGTCGAAATCCCTCATATCCATCGAGATCAAGACGGTTGGGTTTAAGATAAACCCGGATCCTTGCCTACTGAGGATGTTCATGTGGGTCAATATCGCGCCATTGATCGACTCCGGTTGGAGGCTAGCTGGGATGTCTTCTCCATCAGTACATCCCCAATATTCAGCTAGAGGGGTGAGAAGGGGAGCTATTATGATGGCTCCTACTGGACCACGAGTTCCGTAGTCCTTAATAGCTTTCAGAAAGGCATAGCCGGGGTTGCACCTATGCCCCTGATGCATGCAGTAAACTATGAAAAGGTCGGCTAATGTTACCTTCCCCTGGCTCTCTTTCCGGCCATGTAAGGTCCCGGCTAGCAGCTTATGGCATACGCGAAGTGGGGGAGAGAAGGATGCCCCTTTCAAGTGTGTTGGCAAGTTGTGCGCTCCAGTGATCTCTTTCCACATGTTGGTGGTGGTGAGGGTAGGCACCTGGTGTCTGCCCTCTGATAGAATCCCATGATGACATTGAAGTCATCTAAGAAAGTGGTCCGGTAGGCACCGTCCATCCAGTAAGAGACGGCTTGAGTGGGCGGCACTCCGGGCATGGTAGAAGGCAATTCGGCCAGATTGACCGAAGCAAGGAACTCCATCGTAGCAGTACGGTGGATCCGGGTAGGTGGCTCACGGAGCAGAAAGTCCCATCCTATGTTGTGGATGAACCTTCTGACGTCTTGATCCCATCCGAACATAGCCAGGATTTCAAAATCCAGACGCAGCATGGGATACCAGGAGGATTGCTGGATATTCACCAATCTTTGTTGGTGTGACTCTGCCAGCAAATTGTTGGTAACAGTAGTTTCTTTGGCAGCGATTCTATTGCGCTTTCTCCTGGATGAGGCTTCTCCACGCTCCATTGTAAGCTCTATTCTCTTAGAGATGCTAGAAGTGTGTAGAAAGGGAGCAAAAACAAGGTAGGAGGCTTGGAATGAGGTGCAAGAGCCAAAACCCACGCCCCACATATATAGGTCGCGCATGGACAATTGGGACGGCCGTCTGGGTTGGGACGGTCGTCCGGTTTGAATTTTTTACACATGGGTCACCAGCTGGAATGTGGGATGGCCATCTCGCCTGGGACGCGCGTCCCACTTGAATTGGACCACTTGGGACGACCGTCTCGACTTTGGGACGGCCGTCTCGAGCTTCCTGGGCTGGTTTTTTGTTTTTTGTGTTAATTTTCGTGTTTTTTGATGAAACTGAAGATAGGATTCCCTTCATTTATGCTTTAATGCATGTAATGTTTCATGATATGCATCCTATGATCTATTTCAGTTAATATTTCGAAAGTTTTAACTGATGTGCTTTGATTTCGGGCGCATTCTTGCTGTTGTGCCTTTATGTCATCTTGTTTCTTGATCAATAAGCTAAGCTGTACTGTCTTGCCGTTATGGACCTTTCTTGCTATAGCCGAAGAACAATCTTTTGTTCGTAGAGCAGCTGCCATATCAATGCCCTCCTTCCTTTCCTTAGGGATTTCAACCTTCCTATTGATCACTATGTTTCCACATTCCCCTTTATTACTTGAATGCTTTATAGTGAAATGGTCAAGAGAAGAGAAAGAAAAGGATTTACAACAAAGGCTTGTGTTTTAGAGGGATATTTTTTGTAATAGAGGTTTCTGTAAGAATGGCTAGCCAAGGTTGGTCAGTGTTTAGGCTAGTTTAGATAAACGTTTTATTCTTATGATGTGGCGTCGTTGTTTACTTATTTATGGCGCCTTTTTGTGATTGACTAACTTCCCTAGTCCGCCCTTTCGGGTTTTCAACCTAGGATGCTGTGCTTTTGTCCTAACTTTTGTCTAGGTTTCTTTTTTTATTTTTATTTTTGTAGGAATACCTAGCGGACTTTTCATAACCCTAACTTTTGCCCAGGCTACCCTTTATTATTGTTCGGGTTTCCTGCCGGGTTTACCCTATCTTTTGTGCAGCCCCCTTTGTGGGTTTCCCGCCGGGTATTTTGCCCTAACAGTCGCCATCTGTCGCCGCCGTCCGTTCCGACGTCCAAGGACATCTTGAACGTTTAATGCGAGCGGTCACGAAAAGATGGTTCAGACTCGCGTTTTTTGTTTAAAGTGTGTTCATTGCTTCCGAGGTGCTCAACAACTGAACTATCCTCTAATAAAAGCAAGGTTTTCGAAAAGGGTTCTTTTGGAGTCGCCACCAATGTTTTGACCATAAACATTGGAAAAGGATAAAAAGGCGTTGATTTTATTAAAAACAAAACTTAGCCATTATAACCAGAGTTAGGTAAGGGAGTTAGTTACGTGTGGGGAAGGTGTTAGCACCCCACAACGCCCCTTTCGGGTTCCCTATGACGGATTAATTCATTTAAGTAGAGATTACAAGAAATTACGCTATTACCCTATTTTATTCGTACAATAAATATAGCTATCTACATGATTTTATTTACATTTTATAAAGCAATAAATAAAGCAGTAAAAGAGAAGAGATTTGAGAAGAACCTCCGTAGCAAGCTTTATATAGCAACTCTGTTACAATAAGGACGCGTTTCGGCAGTCCCTCGCTCTACAACGACTCTCCTCACAAATACAGACTCGACTCGACTAAAATTTTATAGAAGAATCGAATGTTGGAATATAATTCCTTAACTGATTGTTACCTATATAAGGCAATCAGAAAGATCATTCGAAGGAGGGAGAGAAGTAGACAAGTGCTCTGAGTTGTCTAGAGTGTCTGAGGTGTGAAAAAGTGCCAAATGAGCCTCCTATTTATAGTTTTCGCTGCCTAGCACATCTGGGATGGCCGTCTGGGCCGGGACGACCGTCTGGGTTGGGACGGCCGTCCCAAATGCATTTTTTACACAGGCTGGGACCCCCTGGGAAATGGGACGGCCGTCCCACATGTGGGACGCGCGTCTCACTTGTCCCAGGATAGTTGGGACGGCCGTCCCAACTCTGGGACGGTGGTCTCGACCTGTTTTGTCCAGTTTTTGTGTTCTGGGACCCTGAGAAGCTTTCCTTGCTATTTTTGGACATTGTTTCATGCCGATAGATGTCCCCTGAAGCTTGATCTTCATGTAGGAAGTCTTTTTGGCCCTCATTAAGATATTGAGCGAGCTTTTATCGTTGTGTAGGAAGTCTCTTTGGCCTTTGTCGAGACATTGGATGAACTCCGTGTGGTTGTGGGAGGTCTTCTTAGTGTTTATTGATTAGCTGGGCGATCTTTATCTTTGTGTGAGTTTCCCTAGCTTTTATTGAGAGGCCGGGCAAAATTAGGGGTCTACAGCTGCCCCCCCTTCACCTGCCTAACTAATTTGTTGGCTTGATATGCCGACAAAATTAGTTGGTAGGGGAAGGAGTTAACCCTTTTGCCCGGTCATCCTTCGGATGCTGCTCCTTGCTGATCCTCTGGATGATAAATATTTTGATAGGTACCAACCCCTATCTGGTTTGAGCCTTCTTTTATAAGGCTCTGGTGAGTATTTACCCTCACCAGGTATAAGTCTATATTTTACTAGACTTTAGTGAGTACCTACCCCCACTAGGTATGAACCTTGTTCTGCAAGGTTTTGGTGAGTACCTACCCTCACCTGGTATGAGTTCGCATTTTGCTAAACTCTCGTGGGTACTTACTTCCGAGGTGCTCAACACTGAACTATCCTCTAATAGAAGTAAGGTCTTTGCCACCCATTTTTATAATGCTTAGGTGAGTATTTTACTCCACCTAATGCATTCTGCTAAGTTTAGATGAGTACCTACCCTCATCTGGTATAAACCTTATTTTATAAGGTTTTGGTGGGTACCTACCCCCACCCGGTACGAATCTGCATTTTTGCTAGATTCTGATGAGTACCTACCCTCATCCGGTATAAACCTTATTTTACCCTCATCCGGTATAAACCTTATTTTATAAGGCTTTGGTGAGTACCTACCCTCAGCTGGTACGAATCTGCATTTTGACAGACTCTTGTGGGTACCTACCCCCACCTGGTACGAATCTGCATTTTGACAGACTCTTGTGGGTACCTACCCCCACCTGGTATGAATCTGCATTTTGACAGATTATGATGGGTACCTACCCCCACCTGGTCCGAATCTGCATTTTGACAGATTCTGATGGGTACCTACCCCCACCTGGTCCGAATCTGCATTTTGACAGATTCTGATGGGTACCTACAAGAAGTGGGACGGCCGTCCCACATGTGGGACGCGCGTCTCACTTGTCCCAGGAGAGTTGGGACGGCCGTCCCAACTCTGGGACGGTGGTCTCGACCTGTTTTGTCCAGTTTTTGTGTTCTGGGACCCTGGGAAGCTTTCCTTGCTATTTTTGGACATTGTTTGATGCCGATAGATGTCCCCTGAAGCTTGATCTTCATGTAGGAAGTCTTTTTGGCCCTCATTAAGATGCCAGGCGAGCTTTTATCGTTGTGTAGGAAGTCTCTTTGGCCTTTGTCGAGACATTGGATGAACTCCGTGTGGTTGTGGGAGGTCTTCTTAGTGTTTATTGATTAGCTGGGCGATCTTTATCTTTGTGTGAAGTTTCCCTAGCTTTTATTGAGAGGCCGGGCAAAATTAGGGGTCTACAAGCCAAAAAGCAAAGAATCCACGGCACACCGGAAGACTTTACCAGAAAGGTCCAAAAACATTTACCAAAACAGAAATCACTCCCCATGGAGTCGGCGTATGAGCCACCTGAGCAGTAAGCCGCCACCACCACCAGTCCTACATAACGGACTGTACCAGCCTGATAGGGGGTTTATACCTATCAATCTGCGCACGCAAGCGCGCTTGATCTGCGCTCAAGCCAGATCAGTAAGTCGCAACTACCAGCCTGATGGGGGGTTCATACTCATCCAGTCCAACACAAAGCGGACTATAGCTACCAACCTGATGGGGGGTTCATACTCATCAAGTCCAACACACAGCGGATTGCAGCTACCAGCCTGATGGGGGGTTCATACTCATCCAGTCCAACACACAGCGGACTGCAACTACCAGCCTGATGGGGGGTTCATACCCATCAACCGAAGGATCGGCTACCGTCAGAAGGAGTATCCTGAGGTTCTACCACGTGTCAACCAAAGGGATCGACTACCGTCAGAAGGAGTATCCTGGAGGTGCACAACACAAATTTTCCCTCAGCAGATCAACCGTCACAAGTCGGAACATCCGAAGGGTAACCAGGCAAGAGGGTCAACTCCTTTACCTTCCAGTCGATCTGCTTGGCACAGCAGCCCAACGACCGACTGGTCAGGTAAAGGGGGGGCAGCTGTAGACCCCAAATCTTGTCCGACCTCATAATAAAGACCAGAAGACCTTCTATTCAAAGATGGATGAAGCCTAAGAAGCCACTAGGAGAGACTATTAGGCCCCATACTAGGATAGGAGGGATTTTTGGCAAAAAAATAAGGATTTTTGCCTTTTAAGGTCGAGACCGCTGTCTCGGATTCGAGACCGCCGTCTCGGATTCGAGACCACCATCTCGCCTTGCGCAAGTGGCGAGACGGCCGTCTCGTTTGGCGAGACGGCCGTCTCGTCATTCCTGCAAGGCGAGACAGCCGTCTCGAATGGCGAGACGACCGTCTCGACCTTGTCAGACGAGACGACTGTCTCAACCTGACAGGCGCGAATCCCTATAAATAGTCGCGCCATTCCCCTCATTTCACACAGTTCTTCCATTTTCTCTCTATGCAATTCTTCAAATTCTCTCTCTAGAACCCCTCTGAAGCATTTCCGGAGTTTCTGAGAGCTTTCTAGAGTGTTTTATAGCGTTTTTGAGAGATTATGGGGCTGTAAAGGGTGAAGGGCTGCCAAAAAGCACCCTAATTTCAATGAATTAATAGAAAGCTTGCTTCGGAGGTTTCTATAGTCTCTCTCTCTCTCTACTTTACCGCTTTAATTTTAATTATGCAATAGATATTAGGGCCATGTAGTCATAATATTAAATTCCGCAAATAAAAAGGTAAAAGCGTATTTTCATCGGTTTATTTATTTAAAGGAGCTGGCCTATCATAGGGAACCATAAAGGGGCGTCATAAGGGAATTAACACTTCCCTTACACGTAACTAACTCCCTTACCCAACTCTGGTTCTAATGACCAAAGTTGGTTTTTCGAAAACCAACGCCTTTTTACTCCTTTTCCGATGTTTCTGGTAAAAACATCGGTGGCGACTCCAAAAGAATCCTTCAAAAACTAGTTCTTGGTTTAGCCTGGTTATCGGACAATCCAAGAACGCCCTTTCGAAAACCTCGCCCCAAGGTTCAGCCCGGTTATCGGACAACCTAAAGGCGTTGTAACCACACCAATAAAAACGCGAAAATTGGAAAGTCGGAACCATCGCGTCGCTTCGACCACCTCATTTTGACGGCGACAGTAGGGAGAGGACTTATGATGTTGAATCTTGAGATCTTAGCATGTCATGGTAGGACCATGCATATGCATCCACATACTCTCTTAGCAGTTATACCAAACCTTCCCTGACATGTTATCATTTATTTGGGTATCAATACTTTTTCCTTCTTATCATCTCTCTGCCCCCCAAATCAATGGCCCTTTTTTTTGTAGGGCTGTATGGAGCGAGCTTCTCTTTTTTAGTAGCCTATGCATGTCTAGGGAGATGGTTCCCTTCTCACTGTCTGACTTAATCCATTTGTCTTCGGCTTTCAGATCCCATAGAGAGCCATCCATCACAGACATGATTGTTTTTTATTTGCGGTTCTATTTAGGCTTAGATTTTGTCTTCAATTATTTTGAAAGAGTATTAAGAGAGAAAAGAATGAAAAATAAATATGAATGCTTATGAGAATGCCTCATTATATTGATAAAAAATAAATATTTACAAAGCCCTTTTAATCAAAGATCTCGCGCCCGCTGGCAGGGATCGCGAGAGATATGCAGGAAGTTTAAAAACATATGGAGCCCTAATCAGCTGGCCTTCTTTATCCAACCTCACTATTTTGGTTGTGATAGAGGCTTGGTGTCCACATTAAGAGCGGGATCGTCGAACGTGATCCACCCGACATCCAATAACTTTTGGACCTTATACTTCAAGGTCATACAATTCTCCACGGAATGCCCAGGAGCGCCTGAGTGGTAATCACATTCTTCATTCGGCTTGTACCAATCAGGGTAGGGTGGATCCATCCTCTTCGGAGGGACACGTGCTAGGAGGTTGGCCTCTACCAGCTTTGTCAGCAGACTCCCATAGGAGGTTAGAAGGGGAGTAAACTTTCTCTCTTGATTCCTCGACTGCCTAGCTAGTCGTGAAGAGGAAGAAGGAGTAGCAAGGTTGATGGCATTCACGCTTCTCTCCTCCTTCTTGCTAAGGAACTTCTTGAATGATGCATTGGATGAGGAAGGTTGTTCAATCCTTCCACTCTTCAGTCCTTGCTCCACTCTTTCACCAATGGTCACCACATCCGCAAAGAGGGTTGACGTATTCGCTATCATCTTATCATAATAGGGACCCGTCAACAAGTTGATGAACATGGATGTGGTTTCCTTATCTGATAGTGAAGGCTCTACTTGGGCGGCCAACTCCTCCAACGCTGAGCATACGCCTTGAAGGATTCATCATTTCTCTTGCTTAGAGCTTGAAGATCTGACCTATTCGAAGTCAGATCAATATTGTACTTGTAACGACGAAGGAAGGCATCTGCAGCTGTCTCCAGATTTGGACTTGTCCCCCTTCCAGTTGCATATACTAGTTCAAGGCCGAGTCGGCCAAGCTTTCCTGGAAACAGTGGATCAGGAGTTCCTCGTTATTGGCATATGGAGCCATCTTATGGCAGTACATTGTAAGATGGCTCTTGAGACAAGTCATTCCCATGTACTTGGGAAAGTCCGGAACCTTAAATTTGGGAGGGAAATGAATATTCTTAACAAGGCACATGTCGGCCACCTCTTTAACATCAAAATTATGCCCCTCCATAGCCCTTAACCTCTCTTCGAGGGCAAAAATTTGTTGCTTGGAAACTTCAGGAGGTTGGATGATTACTGCCCTCGCTTCAGGCTATACATGAGCTCCATGCTCAAGCTCATGGTCGGAGCCTTCATCTTCCTCATGATGTGAGGTGTGGTCACTGTGAGGGCTCTCCTTGTGTAGGTTCTATTGACGCATTAACTCCATTAACTACGCCATTTGTTCTTTCATGGAGTTAAGCTCAGTGGTGAGCTTGCGATTTTGTTCTTCCAATTGCTCCATCCTCTTGGCTTTTTGCATGCGAGTAAGGACAGGAAGAAGACATAATTTCTAAAATGTAGATGAATTAGAGTTTTTATTTTTATTTTTTTGAAATGAATGATTAATATTGGATGGATATGCCTTAAGACAATGACTTTAGTATTCTCTTTAAAGCTTACGCTTTATGAAGCACCATACCCACCTCGGTATAATGGTTCCTTCCCCATCATGGATTTGACAAGTATAACGAAGGTCACCATATGCCTTAGAACACTTGTCCCTTCCTTGTGGAAGGTTACAAATGCTCTTGGGTTTCTTTCGCCTTTGTCTTAAAGATATCTAGTGCCCCTTAAAAATGAATGTGTTCATGTATGAGAGGCTTTTATTAAAATGATGCTTATGCATGCCTTTCTTATGCATTTATTTTCTCTCTTAGTTTTACTTCTCTTGAAATGATGAGGGTATGAATGATTTGACTTTGTCAAAATTGTTTTATCATTTTTGTTTTTTATTTGGAAATGAATGTTTTGACTTTGTCAAAATTTTATTTTATTTTACTTTGTTTTTATTTGTTTTGTAACCCCTTTATCTCTTCTATAGGTAAACGTGGCTACTTAGATTACAAAGAACCTGAAACCAGGCTAGCTTAAATGAAGACTGTCTGAGATAAAGTTGGTTTATAAGGAAAAAAAATTTTGTTATTATTTATTGTATATTGTATGATTATTTTATGCAAATGCAACAAACAAATGCAACAAACATATGCACAAACAATTCACTCATCCACGAATAGAGTGACTGCGTTTTAATCACAAGGTAGGGGTTTCTTGTAGAAAGGTGCATAGTCAAGGTGGTTCTAACTGTTCTCACCAAGGCCAGGTCCCCAAGGTGCCCCCATTATAGGGACCCCTCAATATCCTAGTCTTCGAACAATGCATGACAAAAAGGTCTTGTCGACGTTCTTAGACCAAGAGAAGAAGGTTATCACCTTGAGTGGTGGTTTTCAACAACGACCTGCTGGCACTAAGGCCATTACCACGGTTAGCCGTATTTGCCACCCACTCCCTAAGGTTTTCCACTCATGCCCCCGGGTATAGAAAGACTGTTGTGTGCAAGGGTTTGTGTACAGTTTTTATTTCAACCAATTGCGGAAAATAATCATACAACATTTATTAAAGCCATACAGTAAATCATGTTATACAAACAAGGGAGGGTAAAAGCATAATTTCAAATCTATTATTTATCGAATCAATCCATCACCAAATGGGATCAACTCTCTAGGCTTCCCCAGTGGAGTCACCATCTATCGCCGTCATTCCCTCTCTCTCCTGGAATAGACGCCTCGTGGTATTTTTTGGGGCTTTGAGAGGGAAGTGAACTGCCACGATATGATGACTAAACTCGCATTTTTATAAAAGTAAATTGATCATCACTTTCAGGATGTTCGATAACCGAACTATCCTTGAAAGCGAAGTTTTCGTAAAAAGGTTCTATGGAGTCGCTACCAATGTTTTAACCTTAAACATTGGAAAAGGAAAAAAAAAGAAGGCGTTGGTTTTAAGAAAACCAACTTTGCCCATTATAAGCAAAGTTGGGTAAGGGAGTTAGTTACGTGTGGGAAAGGTGTTAGCACCCCACAACGCCCCTTTCAGGTTCCCTATGATAGATTAATTCATAAAATAAATATTCTAGAGATTATGCTTTTACCCTATTTATTGATTGCGCTATTTAAATAACTATCTACATGACTCTAATATCTAATGCACACAAAGGAAAGTAGTAAAGGAAAGCGATAAAAGAGAGAATAGAGAAAAGAACCTCTGAAGCAAGCTTTTTATAAATTCCTCAAACTGGTAATCGCTTTTGACAGTCCCTTTGCTCTACAATGTCGCTCCTCCTCCAACAGAAAAGAAAACTTCAAATCTTGAGTGTCTAAAAGATCACTCAGACTCCGGAATAATGCTCAGAGTCACCTAGAGGTCTTAGAATGCCTTCTAGGTTGAGAGAAGAGTGTGAGAGTGTGTGGAAATGAGGGAAATGAGGTCTTATTTATAGGGAAACGCGCCAGGAGGACTGGACGATCGTCTGGTCCATATGGACGGTCGTCCATGGCTTAAAATGGCCATGGACGACCGTCTGGTCAACATGGAGGAACGTCCATGGCTTAAAATAAGCATGGATGATTGTCTAGTTAGCATGGACGGTCGTCCATGGCTTAAAATAAGCACGAACGACCGTCTGGTCAGCCTAGACGGTCGTCCACTGCCTTCTGACGACATCTCTAATTTTTTATTTTCTAAAAACCCTCCTTTTCTTAAACGGAGCCTAGAAAATGCTACTAGGGGCTTAATGAAGCCTTATCCATCTTCGAAACAGAGGATTTCTGGACTTTATTGTGAGGCTGGGCAAGATTTGTTGAACATACAAGGATATGAAGCTTGTAGATTTTGATGATGATACAAGAATAAAGGATTTAAAGATTTGAAGACTTGTAATGTTATGTAATAACTCTGTTTTTATGTTTTTGAGTCTGTAATATTAGAGTCCAAGATAGCCAGCACATAGACCACTCTTTAAAAGCTCTCTAAAAACTCATTTTTATAAAAAATACACTAGAATAATCGATTAAATGGCATGATAATCGATTATTACAGAAAGAAAACCATTTTCAGCATTTGCTCTCTGGAATAATCGATTAAATGCTCTGTTAATCAATTAATTGGGCTGTTAATCGATTAAATGACCTGTTAATCGATTAATTGGTGCTATTTTTGCTCCTCTGCGAGAATGGCTCTGGAATAATCGATTAACACTCAAGATAATCGATTATTTGGGTCTGATATGCATTTGGAAATTCAAAATTGGACCAAGTTTCGAAAACCCTATTCCCAATTCTTTCAATTTTGAAAATCCCCAATTCCCAAACCCTAATCTCTCTACTTAAGGTTCTCTAAGGCTCTCTGCAAAGTGAACAATCTTTTTCATACAAAAGTTAAGAGTTGTGACTGCTAGATAATTGTTTGTAGGGAGGAAAAAGGGGTTTTTGAAACCTAGTGTGCGCTAGAAGCGATAAGAATCACTAAGTGGGTTTCTTTGTGGATTGTGTGTTGTGCCGTCTCTAGGGAAAGTTGTTCTTCATCCTTTGTGGATTCAAAGGAGGTGTTCATCTCTTGTGTGACTCAAGAGAGGTGTATTCTTTACCTTATCTTTTCATTTGTTATCTGTTTGTAAAACTGTGATTATAGTGACATCATTAATCCTCTATTTGAGTGATTAGCAACTGGACGTAGGGTCTTTTGATCCGAACTATTATAAATCGACTGTGTAATCTTCTATCCCTTCTCTATTTACTTTACACAACATTTTAATCGGTGAAATTTGGAAAAAATTTTAAAACCCTAATTTTTGTTTAAGAAACCAATTCACCCCCCTCTTGGTTTTTGTCCGTAAACACAAACATTCCACTGCACGATTCTAACAAGATTAGGGGTCTACAGGCACGAAAGATCTTTTATAAATGCTATAAAGAAGGAGATCTAGTGGGGAAGATTTGTCAGTCAATTGTGATGTGAAGAAATTTTATGCTCAAGGGACTCAATAACAATAATGGAAATCTCTATGAAAAGATATCAACATTGCTCATTTTCTTGATTTGTTAGGATTTTTATCTGTTAGCTTTCCAATGTATGTTAGACTTTTCTACTGATGCATAAATGACATTGGCCTTGTTTAACAAGTTATGTTCTATGTTATTATATCCACATTCTATGTCACACTGAGTTGTGAAGTTTATACTTGTGGAGCATGGGGTGGTACAAGATTTAGCTCGAAACACGTTCTAAAGGGGTGTTGCAAATAAAACAAATAAATAAAAATAAACAAAAAAAGAATAGCACACTGAATTAATTGCTTCTCTTGAAAATCATCAAATTCATCATGTTTAAGGATAATAAAAGAGAAAAAAAAAAGCGGAATAAATGTAAAAAAATGTATTGGAATTAGAATTGTCAAAACGGGCGGCCCATAGTAAATTTTTTTATGGTCTAACCTGAATTATATTTAAAAATGGACAAAAAATTTTAGTCTAAATAAGCTGGGCCAAAGTAGGCCTGATTCAGGGTCACAAATTTGGTGGCCTAGCTTAACCTATTTCTCAAGCCTTTTTAGTCGGTCCATCGGGCTAAACCTATTTTGACATCCCTACTTGGAATACCATGTCTTTTCTTGATCTAACGTTCTAATAGAGTACAATGCAATAATATTTCTTCAGAAGCATTCACATGCATATTACTTGATATCTTCTAGCTTTTTCCCTTAATTGGGACAGGATCAGCCATAATAGATGATGTGATCATAGATGGGGGCACAAAAAGAAGAAAATAGAAGGGTAACACGAAGCATGACCAAGACCATCTCCTTTCTTCTTTACTCCTTCTCCTAAAAAGAGTAGTATAGGATTTTGGGCTTGTATTCTCGACCCATTTACATGTTCTAGCTTGTTTAGTTCACCTTAGATTAGTTTTGTTGTGTTTGTGTTTTTTGGACTTATAAACACTTAGGAGAACAAGTTGTGGGGAGATGTGGGACTTCTCCCTTAGTTGCTCCAAAGTCCCATATTTCCTAGCTCATTCCCACTACTTGTGCTCCCAAGCCTATAAATAAAGTCCCTACTCTTCTTGTTTTCTCACACTTGAAATTGAATAAGAATTAGTTTTTGCATTTTGCAAACTCTTGAGATAGAGATTATCTCTTAGTTGAAACCATCCTTCACTTATATTGTCATGAAGCAAGTGGTGATCACCATCCTTCACTTATCTGGGAGCTTCTTCCAAGTGGTGTGAACACCTTCCATAAGTTTCCTTTTTCTCTTCTCTTCTATTTTATCAATTTCTTCCTTTAATTGCATAATTGTTTAGCTTCCTCTTTAAGTTTCCACTTCTCTCTTTTTTAATTTCTCTACTTAAATTGCATGTTTCCATATCAGTAGAGATTATCATAAGCAATCTTATACCAAAGCAACTTCACTTGACTTATCTTTTTGAATAATATTTGGCTATATGCTTAAAGCAAATAAAAATTAACGAAGTTTGCTAGACTAAAAAACAGCAAGGAAAATCTATGAAAAAAAAAGGACAAAAGAAAAAAAATGAAAAAAGCGACGCATGTTGAAGTCATAAAATTTTATTACAAGATCAATCTTTGTGAAAATAAGACAATCATGATTTAAAGTGATGTGTGACCAAGTTTATTTATCCAAAAAATAAATAACAAAAATAATACCCCTTGTTACCCCTATGGGCTAAAAAGAATTTTTTTTTTATAAAATTACCCCCAAATAAGGATTTTTCTCACATCAAAGCCAATTCAGTGTTTCACTAGTACAAAACAGGCTTTTAACATCGGTTCCCAGGGACTTTTAACATCGGTTCTAGAACCGATGTAGATACAACCGATGTAGAAAGTCACACTTCTACATCGGTTCCTAAGGAACCGATGTAGAAAGTGTGACTTTCCACTTTCTACATCGGTTCCTAAGGAACCGATGTAGAAAGTCTAATATTTTTATATATTTTATTTATTTTATTTATTTTATTTATTCATAACCCCTCTCCAATTACCCTATCTATTGATCTAGAGGTCTCCTCTCCCTTTTATATTATATTTTTATTATTTATTATATTATTTATATTTTTTAGAAATTTGATTTATTATCAGATTAAGAGAATTGTCAACTTGGCAAGATTCGAACCCAGGACCTTAGAGTCTGAGGTCGATACTCCAACCACTAAGCTATTAGGATTTTCTGATAATAACTTATACATAAATTATATTTATATACAAATAAAAATGTATATCCATGTAAATATATAAATATAAAATATATAAATATAAAATATATAAATACAAATACAAATATATTTATATATTTTATATGTTGGATGTGAGGAATTAAAATATATTTTAGTGACCGATTCAGTGACCGATTCATTGACCGAATTAGTGACCGAATCAGTGACCAGGTTCAGTGACCGAATCAGTGACCAACTGGAATCGATCACTATTTCCTTGGTCACGATATTAGTGACCGATTCAGTAGATAGATATATGAAGGGATAATATTGATATATTAATATATGAGGGGATAATATTGATATATTGATATATTTGTATATATATATATATATATATATATTTATATATATTTATATATTGATATATTTATATATTAATATATTTATATATTTATATTTTTATATGTGCAGGGGGCGTTTCGCTCGAGCGATAGGATTGTCGCTTAGCGAAACACAACCCGAGAATGCCAATTTTGTGCAGGGGGCGTTTCGCTCGAGCCGAGAGACTGTCGCTCAAGCGAAAGA